GCACTGTGTGTGCCCCTACTGGGGTTTGAACTCACTAGGCTTTTTCCGCTCAAGGCTTTGCCCCTTAAGCCACAGTTCCACTCAGCTTTTTGCCAGTTAACTGGATTTCCCTGCCCAGGCTGGCTTTGAAGAGCTGCAATCTTCAGATCTCAGCCTACTGAGCAGTTAGGATTACAGGTTTGAGCCACCAGCAACTGACTCAGAACTCATGGAAATAGCTATTACCAATTTTAAGTGGTCATTTTTCTTTTAGAGAAAGTGAAAATGAGTGTATTCACTAGGGAAAAAAAACAGATTTTTGTATGATTTTCTGACTGGCCCTCAGGCAAGGCATTGTCAATCAAAATATATATATATGTATATATACATATATATTCCTGTGTTTCAGACAACCAAAAAAAGAACTTTTTTCCATTATTATAGAGAACTCTGGTACTTGGGAACACACAGAATATCATTTGAGAACTCTGAAATTTCTGGTTAGCTTGGTGACCCAACTAGAGAACCATTGCCAGCAATCCACACACAGATAATCACTGGGTCAAAGCCTTGCTTTGCCTTTCTAGTAGAAAAACAGTTCACACAAAGAGTAATGCACTGGACCATGTGAGGCAAATATCTGTACAAAGAGAAAATAATCTCATTTTAATAAAAGTTTTCGATCATTTGTAATAGTGTGAATCTAATGCAGCTTTGATTATTTTTAGATAAACATTTAATTAACATATTCTTTATAAATTATTTGCATTACTAATGATGCAGTTAAAAAAATCTCACCTATCATACTGAACTGTTAATAAATAGAGCTTCTCAAATGACTAGTCTTTTAGCTCAATTTCTTTCTTTCCTTTAAGACAAGGTTACAGAATCACACAAAATACACGGAAGGAGCTGCAGATACGTCTTTTCCCCAGAGCTATCTCTTCCCAGGGTAGCCCACACTGCCTTGCTAAGGCCCACAGGCTGGCGAAGCTAGACATCACCACCCAAAGGAGATGAAACCGCCTGGAGGAGGAGTGGCCTTTTAAATGTTAAGGTGCCAGGCCAAGGTTCACAAGCCAGATTGCCCCTTTTACAGGAAGGGTATTATATATAACTAAGAAATGGTCCCCTGGCCGGAAGGCCTACTGTGACCTCCCATGGTTTAAGCCCCCTGGTTGCCTTACTACAGTCAATATCCCTTGGGGACAGACTGGCTCCTTAGGTCCCTACAGGATCCGATAAATGGATGATCAGCACACAAAGCTTCCCACCCCATTCTGAAACTGCTGAGGCTCAGGATGGGCAGAGAGCGGTTCAAGTGGATGCTCCGTCCTTTTCTCTCCTCAGAGCACTAACCTTAGGATCTCTTCCAACAATGGCAACAGCTCCCAGTCCTGTCTCCCTGCTTCCTCTCCTGCTCACTCAGCTTTCTTCCCTATAAGCCAGGGGTGGGGAGCCTTTTTGCTGCCCATCCATCGGGCCAAATAAGGACCCAGGAATCATGTGGTATGTGATAGAACAGCCATATCCGCTTTTCATTGGCTGTTCAAGGCCCATCTGCTTGTATTAATAAGCCTGTATTTCCATCCCTTCCCAGTTGCTACCCAGCTCTGCAGCTAGAATAACATCTGAAGGTGCCATGGCTTCTATACCCACCATGACCCTTCCCTTGGCTGCTCCCTGATCCTAGCCAGCACCCCATCCAGCTCCTTCAACACCCCCGCGGGCTCCCAGGGGCCTTTGCCCCAGGTCATCCTTGCTTCAGAGCTTGGTTATTGCTAGTCCCTAAGCCCAGATCTCCCCAAGGAGCATCCTACCATCAATCAACCCCAACTGAGCTGTACAGAGGCCTTCCTGGGTCTTGATCTACAGAAGCTCCACACTGACTCCTCTCTGTGTGACACTAAGCATGCTGGGCCCAGACCCACGGCCTGCTTTTGACCCTGGATGGCTGGGACTACCTATGGACTCCCTTGCCTGGACTCTTCTGCATCCTGGATGCTTGCTCAGTTCTGCCAACAGAGCAGAGGCTCAGACACTTCTTCCCTGACCACCTTGGGCCTCTGAGTCCACATCATCCTTCAAGTCTAGAGCTCCTTCCAGGCCACCCAGCCCTGGGATTCCAGCATACTGCTTCCTCCCTTACTTCCAACCGCTAGCTATTGCTCAGGGCTGTGGTCTGAACATCCCATGTGGATTCCTTCAGGCCTGCCTCACTTCACTAGTTCTTCAGCCAAGCATTTCAAACCAGTTTGGTGGGTGACCCTGTTAGGATCTACCAGCCACCATCCAAGGCCCTCTCCATCACATTTTCCTGCTATGTATTCTTTATATTCTTATCACTGCCATCAGTTCCAATCTTAAGTCAAAATGATTAAAAACAAAAAGCAAAATAAAACCCTGCATCAGCACTGTGAACAGTCTTCTCTTGTCTTTATTTATATAGCATTTACATGGTGTAGACATAACCAGCCACCTAGAAGGGGTGTACATGTTTGTGTGTGTGCATGCTGGTACTGGGGCTTAAACTCAGAGACTTGTGATCTTGCTTGACTTTTTCACTCAAAGCTAGTACTCTACCACTTGTGCTATACCTCTACTACCAGCATTTTGCTGACAGTAAGAGTCTCTCAGGTTTGTCTGCCCAGGATGACTTCCAACCAGAATTCTCAGACCTCAGCCTCCTAACTAGCTAGGATAATAGGCATGAACCACCAACACCCAACTCTAGATGTAAATTAAAGTATACAGGAGGATGTGTCTGGTAGCACATGCAAATATCATACTACTTTAAGATCGTGTTAGTATGGAAGTGGTTTCTCAGAACCAACAATCCCTGAGGATACTAATGGTACACTGCCTCTGGAAGCACCTGCTCCCTTGCTTCTTTTCTGTGGTCCATCTGTTCCTCCCTCACTAGATCCCGAGATCTAGTGAGTGCATCAGTGTGAGTGTGAGGGCATCAGTGTGCGTGGATAAATGAATGAGTAAATGCCTGCCCGCTGTCCCCAAGAATCACTTTGTTCATGGGACCTTCTCGGACCATCTGATGTAAATCATCCATCTCCCTTCTTCCCTTCTGCGACCTCCACTCCCCAAGTTCCTCTAACACCATCAACTCCTAGTATATTTATAGTAGTATATTTATACTTTATTGCATCTTCCCTAACAAAAGTGCCAGCCCTGAAAGCAAAAATGCCTTCAGGGCTGGCACTTTTATATTTATTCTCTTCTGTATCCTTATTAAAATGAACAGCCCATGTTTATACAAAAGCAGGTTCCGGATGTCCCCAGCACCAGGATGAATGCAAAACCACGAGTTATTAGATACAGATACCCAAGTAGAGAAGTGCAGTCTGGCATGACTTTTCTTGCTTCAGAGAAAAACAACCTAGGACCCCTACGAAAGAGGTTAGCCCAGCAAGAAGAAAAGGACTTAGAAGATAAGAGAGACCCTGATAAGCGTTGCTCTAAAATCGTGTCCGAAGCTTAGGAGACCCTAGTAAATCCTTCCTGAAGGTAAACGGGCATATACAAATGATAACTAAGCCAGCACGTAGCTCCCTGCTCCACAGTGCGCAGCGCCTTCAACCACAGCTCACTGACAGCACACACGGACCCAGCGCCAAGCTCTCAACACACGGCTTTTCTTTTGGACAGCTGCACTCTCAATGGGGCAGCTCTCAAAGACAGGCTTCCTTCTGCAACGCCTACACCGTCCAATTTCTATTCTGCACAATAACTGGAGATTTGCAGTAAGTGCCTCCTCCCCGCGACATCATTGATTACTCATCTCTGTCCCCCCAACCTCCGAAGTGTCAAAATGGTGTAGATTTAGAGAGGGAGGGAGGGATCCATTCCCAGTGTACGAGATGTCCCCAGCGGTGGTGACAAGTCACCCCCTTCCAGGGAGCAAGATTGACTCCCGGCTAAATATCCTAAAGGCTTCAATAAATGCCACACACACACACACACACACACACACACACACACACACACGCACGCACCCGCACCCCATTCGACCCAAACTGGCCCACCACTGCAGAATTAAGAGCAACCGCCGATCCTCACCCAAACACCACACACTGGCTTTTCCTTCCCACCGTGCAGATTGAGAATGCAGAGCCGCCCTCGTCCTACTTAGGAACATTGAGTCACGCCGCCGGTCAACGGCTGCTTCCTCTTCCCTATGAATGGGGTGACCACAACGAGTGAAAAAGCAGGGCCAGGGGCTCAAGCCCCAGGAGCTCCCCGGCCGCTTCGGGGGGCTGAGAATGCATGCCCCGATAACTAGGACTCGGTCTCTCCCGGCCACCCCGTCCGAATGGACAAACGGGGCGCCCAGGTGCGGGCCCGCGGACGCTCAGGCGCGGGTCCCGGGGCCCCCCAGGAGCAGGTCAGGGGGCGTCCAGGCGCGGGTCAGGGGGCGCTCAGGCGCGGGTCTGGGGCGCCCAGGCGCGGGTCAGGGGGCCCTCAGGAGCGGGTCTGGGGGCGCTCAGGGCGCGGGTCCCGGGGGCGCCCAGGAGCGGGTCCGGGGGTGCTCAGGGCGCGGGTCCAGGCCGCCCAGGCGCGGGTCAGGGGGCGCCCAGGCGCGGGTCAGGGGGCGCCCAGGCGCGGGTCCGGGGGCGCCCAGGCGCGGGTTCCGGGGGCGCCCAGGCGCGGGTCCAGGCCGCCCAGGCGCGGGTCTGGGGCGCTCAGGGCGCGGGTCTGGGGCGCCCAGGGCGCGGGTCAGGGGGCGCCCAGGAGCAGGTCCGGGGGCGCCCAGGCGCGGGTCCCGGGGGCCCCCAGGAGCGGGTCCCGGGGCGCTCAGGACGCGGGTCCGGGGCGCCCAGGCGCGGAGGAGAACGGACGACGCTTGGGGGACGTGAAGGGGTCGCCGCCCCACCCCACCCACCCCGCCCACCCCGCCCGCCACCAAACCCCACCAGCTCGGCGACCCGCGACGACGACGACGACGACGACGACGCCGGGCAACAAGTGTCCGCCCTCCCCGACGGCCCCGACGCCGGCCCACTCACCCGGCACAGGCCGTCCACGAACACGCGCGGGTCCAGGTGGCAGGCGATGGTGGCGCTGGGCAGGTCCTGCAGGTCCACCTCCTCCATCTCGCAGTCGATGAAGCTCCAGTCGCCGCCGCCCTCCTCGGCCTCGGCCGTCCTCGGGAAGGGCGCGAAGGGCCGCAGCGTCACCCCGGGCCGCGCCCGCGTCTCGCCCGCCTCCGCCGCCACCCGAGCCCGGGCCCGGGCCACGCCGTCCTCCATCCCGGCCTGCGCTCTCTCGCTCGCTCACTCGCGCCCCGGCCGCTGCGCTCCCCCGCCGGCTCTCCCCTCCGCCGGCTCCCGGCGAACCCTCTCCAGATCGCACAGTGGCCGGCGGCGGCCGTCACCACGGCTGCGGGAGACGCGGCCTCCGTCGGTCTCGCCCAACTCCTTCCTGAGCGGGTGGGGCTCAGAAACCCGAGCGCCGCTCGGCCCGCCCAGCCCCCAGGCAGATTCAGCAGCGGTCCCTTTAAGAACGGCCCTCATTGGGTTATTCTGTCCCGCCCTTCCCGGACAGAACACCAATAAGAGAACAGGATTGGTCCCACGTGATCATTATTTTACCGCCCTAAACCTGAAGCCTCGGAGCGGCCATGTTTGTTAGGGGCAAAGGCCTCTAGCCAGTTCTGCTTTTCCTGACAGCTGGTGGTGTCTGCTGAAGGACACCAGACTGGGACCTGGGCCCCTGGAATGATAACTGAGGAGGCCGAGATTCTGTGGTTCCCATGGGGTGACTTGTAGAACACAAGGCCCAAGTTTAGGGGATTTAAGCTGGATCTATTTCTGTACAGCTCTGGGGACTGCAGGTGGTTGGTTACACGCTCAGCCTATTATCAAATATAGTCATAAATAGGGATTAAAAGAGGACAGGAGGGTATTCTTTCATGTTTCAGCCTATTAGTCATTCTATTGTCTAAAAACATATAATAAAAGTGATTTGTTTAAAATCACCAAACTATGTTCATTACAATAGAGGAGAGAACACATGGACCTTTGCCATTGGGAAGTTTATTATAGAGGAGAAATACTGGGTCTCATGAGTGTATTTCTCTTCCTACAAGAAGTGAAATTCCTTCATCATGAAAGACAAGTTTAAATGTCAGTTTTACTGTTAATTACTTGGGTAATTAACCTCGGTTAAACTTGAATGTCTGAGTTTCTTGTCTCAAAAAAAAAATGAGGTAGGTGGTAAATCTCTGGTGAGGGCTTTAGTACATGGTTTCTGTTTATGTACTCTGTTCTTTGGAAGATGCACAATTGGATCTGTATTGGACTCAGAAATAGGATCCCTTTTATTTAAAAGTGTGTTAGTTGGGGTTTTTCCAGCACCTTAATTGTCATGAAGGAGGGAGGAGTTTTTTATTTTGCTCAGTTTCAGAAGCTTAAGTTCATCATGACATGGAGGGCATCGTGAGTAGAGACATGAGGTTCATTCACTTCAAGGTGGCCAAGAAAGATAAAGACTAGGACCAGGGGAAGAAGAAGGTGAAGGAATGCCTGAGCTAGTGGACTCTCTCCTACTACCTCTTTTATTCCATCTGGGTCCCCAATCTATGGGATACAGCCACTGACATTCAGGATGAGTCTGTCCCCCTTAGGCCTCCTTAGAAAGGCCCTCACAGACATAGCCAGGACTATGATTTACTCATTTCCTAGGCAAATCTCGGTTGAGCCAAATTGAACCACGGTGTAACTGATGATTATAAGGTTTCGCTGAAACCACACCATTCAGGCAAAAAAGAATTTTTTGAGGGAGAGCATACAGCCAGCCAGGCCACAAGGCCACAAGAAATGGAGGCTAGTGGAGAGAGGAAGGGAAGGGAAGAAAGGAAAAAGGGGTGACTTCTGGTGGGATTGGAGTTAATGTTGGGAGAGGGTGGGGAGGAGGAATGGCCACAATGGATGCAGATGTGACCTCAGAGTCTGGGAACCTCCCACTATTGGAAGGATGCTGACTGGGGCAGTCCAGGATGTAGGAAAGGAGAGGTAACTTCCCCCAGGTGTGCTGATCACCTGGATAGCACAGGTGCTAGGTGGGGGCGTCTAGGGAAGGGGCCACATGTGCACCCAGGAAGAACAGTGGGATAGGGGCCATTTATCCCAGGCACACCTAACATTCCAGCCTTTTGATAGTTGGGGGGGGGTGCTGATTCTCTTTGGCTACTTCCTGCTGGCAAGGGGCATTGACATTATGGCTAGAAGGCAAGAGTTATTGTTTGGTCTGGTAGAAGGCAGCAGTGACTGTTCCTTGATGGTGAACACAGTACGTGTCTTTGAATGAAATCTAGAAGAAATCTTACAAAACAGGGGCTGAACAATAAGGAAAAATATTAGAGAGTAGCACACAAATGGCAGAAGGAAGGGTTCAGGCTAGTTCCTATCTGTGTTCCAGATTGGTGGAAAATATCCCTAGCTACTTCTGATATCTGGTGACTAGGTAGGGGAGGGGATAGTAGACGGTTAAGAATAAGCAGTCAGAGGCTGGGGCTGGATTGGAGTGGTACAGACCTGACAGGAGGCCTTGGTAGATGCCTGGATTATAGAGTATGTAGGGGAGACCCAGGAAACTGTCAAGGCTAACTGTCCTGAGTCTAAGACTCACTTTAAGTTCCTGTCCAGTTAGAAGACAGGCTCATTAACTATTTTCTTCTGATCTCCTGGCTCTGGGTAGTTTTAAAGGACAGGCACAAAGTAACTCCATTTAGTATGTGACACTATCCCTTCTTACTCTTCTCCATGATTCCTCGTTGCCAGCACTGGCTTTGTCCTGGGGGTCTAGTTGCTCATTCTGGAACGGCTTGTCCCAGTTGACATTTTTGCTCATTGGTCTGAGTCCTATTTCTGAGCTCTTTTGTTCAAGGTTAGTGTACTACCACTTGAGCCATGGCTCCATTTCTGGCATTTTTTTTAGTAGTTTATTGGAGATAAGAGTCTTATAGGGACTTTTCTGCCCAGGCTGGCTTTGAACTGCAATTGTCAGATCAAGTGAGCCTTTGTCAAAAACCCTTATTCCCAACTGAAGCAACAAGGAGATCAATAGAAATAATAACCAGAGCTACTTTGACCAACAAGTACTTGCCAAAGTTATTCCTCTGTGGGTCTGACTAAAAGCTGCAGAGGTTAAAAATCTGTAATGACAAAACTCAGTAGACAAGATGAGAGTTTTAAAATAGCAACTGCTTAACTGAGTAAAGCACTTTAGGATACTACTGAAGATCAAAACCATTATCTATTAGCTCTGTATCAAAGGTGGCTTACATACTTGGAAAACACATATGAAAAACTTGACAGGCTTTATAGTGCACAATTACTTTCATAGATGGACATAAAGAATAACATGCTGGGGCTGGGTAGTTGGCTCAGTGGTGGAGCGCTTGCCTCGCATGCATGAGGCTCTGGATTCAATTCCTCAAGCACCACATAAGCAGAAATAGCTGGAATTGGCACTGTGGCTCAAGTGGTAGAGCACTAACTAGCCTTGAGCTGAAGAGCTGAGGGACAGCGCCCAGGGCCAGTCAGAGTTCAGGCCCCATGACTGGCAAAAATAAAAAATAAAAAAGAATGACGTGCTTGCTTTACATCAATTTATTAATCTTGACCTTGTTGAAAACACAGCCAACTAGTTCCATACCAACATTACTCACAAGATCTATTTTATAAAACTTCCCATTTTCCTCTCTTTGGCCTGTTGAGCCAGTTACCAGAAAGCCTTTAAAACTTTTTTTTTTTTTTTTTTTTTTTTGTCGGTCATGGGGCTGGGGCTTGAACTCTGGGCTTGGGCGCTGTCCTTGCGCTCTTCAGCTCAAGGCGAGCACTCTACCGCTTGAGCCACAGCACCACTTCCAGTTTTCTAGTGGTTTATTGGAGATAAGAGTCTCACAGACTTTCCTGCCCAGGCTGGCTTTGAACTGTGATCCTCAGATCTCAGCCTCCTGAGTAGCTAGGATTACAGGCATGAGCCACTGGTGCCTAGCTTTTAAAAAAATTCTAGTAAAGAGACACATTAGGGGGTTGGAAATTTAGTTCATACAAATTGACCTTTGAACACTTGCTGGTCAAGTGGGGAGTCCCAGGAAAACCCACCACATGGCCAAGATGGCACACAAGAACAACAACAACAACAAGTCAGGATGGTAAGAAAACTTTGTGGAGCTTTATTAAGTAAGCAAGCAAGCAGACAAGCAGCAGACAAACAAACAATCAGAAAGGGCATACAGGAAGGTACCTTCAGGAGCGGCAGAGAGAGATACAGACAGTCTTAGCTAAAAGGATTTAAGCCAGGATGGCTAGCTTTAAGTGGGAGCCTAGAGGGCAGTCCCTGGGACCCCACCTTCATCTCAACTCTCAAGGGCACAAGTAGAGAGAGGAAGAGAAGTAGGGAAGGAGGGAGGGAGGGATTGAACTCCTACAAGACCGGGAAAGTTTCTAGAGGAGATGGCTTGGGAGGTTTATGAGAACAGAAGACAGACGGGTGGGTGAGCAGAAGTTTAAATGTACAGAACTTCTGGCCATTTACCATTACATTAGCAGAAAGTGGAAGGTGTTTTTAGTCCTTTAGGGAAAAGGACATCTAGAGAGCTTAGGAAGCACCCCCAAAGGAGTATCTTGACTTGGAAGAAAGGCAGGGAAGGAGTCTGGCAACCATGTGGAGGAAGAGGAGGAGGAGGAGGAGTTCCAGAGGACCTAGAAAGGCAGAGTCTGGTGAGTGTTAAGAGGTTTGGATGGAAGGTGACCCTGTTTAACCAAGCCTCTATTAGAATGAGGGTCGAATTCCTGATTCAGGCATTCCCAAAACAGGGAGTGACAGCCAAGGAGGTGTAGGAACCTTCTGGTGTGGTGCCACATGAAGAGGGACAGAGAGAGTCTCAGAGGGCTTGTAGGGTAGCACTCACCACATGTAGAGAGGAGGGGAGCCACAGTCGCTCAGCAGATGTGGAGAGGAGACAGTGTGGCAGCTGCGTGGCCAGCAATGGTGAGAAGTCCAAGGTGGGGTCTCTCTAGCCGTTGGCAGTTTGGTCCGAGGAGGGGTGGTCAAGGAGGAGGATGGCGGATTAACCCTCTGAGAAGGGGGTCCAGCGGCTCTGACTCTGTCCCCTCCTGGGTCTCGGCACCATTATGTTAGGTTTGGCTGAAAGGAAACAGCCACACGGTTCAGGCAGAAAAGAGTTTATTGGGGGAGAACAGACTGCCGGACCACATGAGAGAGAGGCGTGTGGAGAGAGGAAGGGAAGGGAAGAAGGGAGAGTGGGTGACTTCCGCTGGGATTGGGCTAATGT